CTATTTGCACCCACTAAGACACATTGTTTCAGTAATCAGTCATAAAAAAAGAATGCATTGTATAGCATTTGAACAGTAAAATGAAAACTGCATTTCACAGTAAGAGAAAGTGTATGTCAGTCTTGAAAACATACTAGCCTGGTTTGTTTGTTGTGGTTTTTTTTTCAGATGCAAAAAAAAAAAACCCTTTTGAATGGATTAAAGATGCTTGGAGGAGTAGGGAAGAATAGGTGAAGAATCTGAATGCTTTCATGGCCATCAGACTGGTAAAATGTTTTATTTGACCATTCTAAGTATAAGAGGGCTCTCATACATTTCTGGTAGGAGTACAACTAGATCAACCAGGCTAGAGATAATGTGATGATACTGAATCAAGTTGAGGATGCTCATATCCTAGGCTCAGCAATGTTACTCCAAGGTATATGCCGTAGGGAACTCTAGCTTATATGTACAAAGAAATGTGTACCAGAAGGCTCATTAAAGCTAATTTTGTAATGTTCAAATAGAGTACTGAATGAATACTGAAATTAGATGTATAAAAACATATAGTATATTCATATAATGTAATACTATATAGCAGTCAATATGAATAAACTAGATGGATTAATATAGACTGATCTCAAATATAATATTTGAAGAAGAAAAGCAAGTTACAGAAGGATAGGCTCAATGCCTTAGCATTTATGTAAAGCAAAAATAAAAATTGAGTGTGCACACAAAGACTTGTAGTTAAACTATAAAAATGTACAAGGGAAACAAAAACATGAACTTAAGGATAGTGATTATCTCTGGGAAAAAAGGAGGGAAATGAGTTTAGGTACATAGAGAATGTTACCTGTACCTATATAGATATAAATATATAATGTATAATTTATTTTTTTAAAAATAATACCTAAGCAAGGCAGTGTTCAGGAAGAACATGAAGTGATCTCCTTACTGCAAATGAATGAAAGAATAATAAATAAATTTAAAATATATACAGATGAAAATAGATACTATTGATAATGGTACATACATTAATCGTCATATACGTAGTACAGTAGAAATGAAGGTGAAGATTGCTAAGCCTGCTAAAAATTTGATACTCTATTCACTAGATTTTAACCTGGGTAGACTGTATTCAGTTGTGAAAGAATAAAAAAAGAAAACAGTGACATCCTGGAAATACATTATCATGCATCATATCTCAAAGGTAAGTAGTAGTATTAATTTTTTAGAAATTTAGTTTTCTGAGACTAATGCTTCCTTATTAACAGAGGAACCTCTGTTGATTTCTTCATATTTGATTTTCAGATCTACTTTTGGTAACCTTCATGTAAGGAATAAAAAGAATTATTTTGTCACAAAATCTTAATAAGTACACCAAAATAATGATCACACTCCCCTGTTTCTCCTTTTTCTTCCCTCATCCTGTCTCATCGTTAGTATTCACCCAGGCACACAAGCCAGAAACCCTGGGCCCCAGGCCCCACCCTTTCCACCTGCCCCCACCACATAGGACAGTCATCCTATCGATTTTGCTCCCTGCAGCCTCCACTTCTACTGTGTCACCTTAGGCACCAGCAGCATTAATTTACTTGCAGAAAAGCCCACCAGGCTGTCCACACTGTTCCTCAGTCTGGCCAACCTCCTCCACTTCTCCCCATTTCTCTGCCAGCCTAACTCCAAGCTCAGCCAGGTGGCTCTTTACTTTTTGATGCTTGTGAGCTTCCCTCTGCTGCATCATAGTGTACATTGTGGTCTTTCCTTTCTACTGAACCTGCCCTCCCTGAGGACAGGAGTGACATCTGATGCTCCTCTGTCCCCCATGTCTAATGCATTACATGAAGCAAGTAGTGTGTACCCGATAAACTGAACTGAAATGAGTAACGACTGATAACCCACATTTAGTACAGACTGCTAAATTAAAAAGTACATAGTTCTAAATAAATAAATAATACAATAATAAATAAATTTTTTTAAAAAGGCAGGGAGGGTATAGCTCAAGTGGTAGAGTGCATGCTTAGTATGCACCAGGTCCTGGATTCAATCCCCAGTACCTCCTGTAAAAATAAATAAACCTAATTATCTCACACACACACACCCCTCTGCTAAAATAAAATAATTAAATAATATAATAATAAGTAAAAAATTTTTTAAGTATATTGCACTATGCCCTTGGCAAAATCCTTACCCAAGAACAATTAATTCTCCAGCTAAGTCCTAACTGATTTTCTCTTGTCATTTTAACTCCCCATTACCTTCTGGGATTTTCCTTTTTTCCCTCCTCTTCCTCTTTTAGTCCCCTCTATATTCTTCTGGACTGAAATAGTTATTTTCTTGTACCTGAGCTGATTTTTCACACAGTTAACTCGGTGAGTATACTCTGAGTATTGTGCTGAGTTTTCTAGAGCTGCACCTATTTTTACTTCTAATTTGTAACTATGCAAATCTATGGCATGTTTGAATTTAAGGAGGTTTATTAGCTTATAATGTTTACTCTGCAAAATGTTTGCTGTAATTGAAAAAATAACCTCCCCCACTGACTCCCTGTATGTTGCTTCAGGACTGTCATTAGATACACACCCCCACTCTCAGTGTAGGAACCTGGAATTTAGGTTAATTAATCCTTTCCATTTCTGGGCTACAATGGGGCAGACATAGCTGTGAGTGGCAAATTACACAGTGATGTAACTTGTATGTCCCATTTTGGAAGGTCTTATCTGTGAATATGTCACGATACTGTATCCTATTGCATCACCACCCACCAACACACACAAACATACACACACACACACACATACACATATTGTGAGTTCTCACACTCCATAGGTGTAAGTTCATCCATATCCAACACTTATTTTACAAGCTAAATCTAACTGCTTGGATTAACACCATCTCCAGTGATTAATCAAAACCACCCTTTTCTCAAAGTGAGTCATGTCCCCAGGTAGTCAGTATGTCACACATTCTTCTACCACCACCTGTACCAATGTCTAGATTCCTTTTATTATTCCTGGAAGGTGCAGACTTTTTGAAATAAAATTTTTGCCTTGAAAGAGTAAGCATGAGACTAAACTCAATTTATGTAGATTATTTAACACACAGACATTTGCAAAGGAAGACTATTCACATGAAGCTCCAACAACATGTTTCTTTTTGAACATTCATCATTCATAAAAGCTAAGTATTAAGAACTATTATTGGTATGTTTTGTTCACATAGAAAAATGTTCCAATTTATCTCTCATAAAATTCTGTCCATTTAAGAACCAAGAATCAAGGTGGACAGGGATGGACAAACTATCCAGCGGTTTTCAAAGTGTGTGCTAGGCATCCCCACCACCTTTTGGGGGGCCCACAAGGTCAGAGCTCTTTAGATAGTAATACTAAGATGTTATTCACCTTTGTAAGTCTCATTGTCCCATGTGTGTATGGTGCTAGTTCCCAAAGGCTGCATGACCTGTGATATCACGATCAACGTATTTGACTGAATGAAGAGAAGATATGAGAATCCAGCTCTTTACTCAGGCCACACATTAAGGAGATTTGTCAAAATGCAAAACTTTGCTATTCTTCTCCCTCATTATTTTTGTCTTGGAAAATAGTTATTTTTTATTTTAAAAATATTACTTAGGTTGATGAAATGATTTATTATTGTTATTTTAAATGAGTTAATAAGAAAATACTGAAATTTTTCTCACTTTTAATTTCTGATACAGTAAATAAATATTGGTAGATACAACCTGCACTTTAAAAATCTCTTTGAGATTTCCGAAGACCAAAAAGTTTGAGAAGGGCTGAGCTATATAAATAGGTGGGTACGTTAATGTCACCTTGGAAATGTTCCCCCCTAAAAAACGTTTTTCAAAACAGTGTTTCAATAGATGTGTTCCATGACTCAGAGGGGAGTTTTCCATATAGAAGCCTCTTGGTTGGCTATCAGTTGGCTGCACCTGGGCTAGTTTCCACCCCACCTTATCTTTAACATCCTCTGTAGCTCTCTTTAGGCAAACAAAGCAGAAGGGGCTTGGAGGGGGCCTGCAGGCCCCACAGGAGTTATTCTTGGAAAAGGCTTTCCCTGGGTTCTGGGCCTCCTCAGAACTTTAGCTCTTAAAGCAAGTGCCTCCAAAGGAGGCATTTTTTGCCTCCTATCTAAACCTCATCCTATTTGAGCTCTCTTGGGAGTAAAAGCAGCCATCTGAAATATATACCTGATTTCTGACTGTATCAGAATTACCTGGGACACATTTTAAATATAAAGACTCCAGGCCCCAATCCAGACCTAAGGAATCAAAAGCACAGGGCTGAGAGGAGCATGTCCATTCTCTTTGACAGACTCTCCCCATGATCTTTGGCATGCAGTCTCCAGGAGGCCACTGTTGAGGTGCAGGTCACCCAGAAAAGAAAGGAGGGTCCCTGTTGAGGGTATCACCTTCACACAGGAGCACAAAGCAAGGCAGCATGTGCCTTGAGACACAGGGAAGCCCCTGGCTGGGGCAGCGCCCAACACCTACCAGTGAAGTCAGGCCTGTGCAGGTGCACAGGCACTCAGGGTCTGACGAGGAGAGGAGAGCCAGGTGCCACAGGGCCTTGGCAGAGAGTATATGGGTTCAGAATGGTGATTGATGGAGAAGAAGAGAAAGAAAGAGAGATGAAGAGGGGGAAGTATCATGGCAAGAAGAGGAAGGTTCCAGCAGTTAGGATCCAAAAGTGCTGACTATCATTTTCCACTCACAGTTTTGATTAGAGCCAGCCCTAAGCTTTGGTGGAGTCAAGAGCCAATGCAGACTTGATAAGCCCCCAAAAGTCTTGCTCTGATTTAGACTCAGAAGATATAAACAGAGTTTTAAAAGCCAGAAAGAGTGATCACATAAATAAAACCTAGAAAGATCATGTAAATAGGCACTAAAATGGGCTTGGAAAAAAAATCAGATCTAAATGGAAGCCTTTCACATACAGTGTTTGGAGGAGGAAAGCCTCTGTCTGCATATTCTTCCAGCTCAGGGTCCAGGAAGCAGGAGGCAGAGGAAGAAGACACTAGGCCTGGTTATTTACCATTACCCATTGCTGGGCCCATTATAAAAAACTCGTCCAGAAATAACCCAAGAGTGTTTGTAGCCTTTATTAGTCTTTTCTTGGCTGTTAGTTACTGCCTTTAATTAGAGTCAATGAAGCTTCAATGTAAAATAGTTTAAGGTATAGCCAGAGGCTGAGTCCTAACCTTCTCTGATCTTTTCAGTTGTACTCAATTTCAAGTTTCTTACAAAGTCGGGTTTGACCTGGCCTCTCTTTCTTTGGCTCCTTCTGTACCTGTGATCATTAGGCCATTCACTTATTGTTGGTTTTTAAGATAAACTGTTGCATTTCAGCAAAGGCCTAATGAATTTGGGAGAGATAGTGAACAAGGTAAAATCTGGTTTATTGGGATGATTTTTGGTTGCCTGAATACTTTTCAGCCTTCACTTATTTTTATTTCAGGAACAAGGCTGGCTTGCTCTAGTAAGCCTTACCCAAATTTTGCAACACATTTACAAGTTGAAATCTGTGTGGCAAAGAACACGTTTTGTAACATAGGCAGTTTTGATAACAAGCAGAAGTAAGAGGAACTCAATTTCACCCAATATATAGTGCTTTACAGAGCTCTTTGCTTTCTTTGCCTCAGCCTTCCCCATTAAGAAAAGATAGGAAAAGAAAAGAAAAAAAACTGTTTACCTTGTACGGGTCTTTCAGAAGATGGACTGCAGAATTACAGAATGCTTAATGAAATGCGCAATTCCTTCTTCACTGGCTTGCTGCTGAAAAAGAACTACCTTGCTCATATTTGGAAGGTAGAAGATGCTTTTGATTACATCCGTTCTATTTAATAAGTAACCTTTCCTGTGCTTTCAGCAGTAGATACTCTGAGACATCTTCCATAAACACTTTTTTCTTTCCAAATCAATTCTTAGCATGCCTTATATATCTGTAAGACATCACTAGTTTTGTAAAAGTATGCAACATCAGTGATCCAGATGGTCAGAACCATCAATGTCTCATTTTAGGCTGAATTACCATCTTTCCTTTTGCTCCCCATCTCAAAGGATCTTTCGCGTGGTAGATCCTCATGGAATAGCAGATAAAGGATTTTGTGCATCGATGCCCTGCATAGTGAACTAGTTGACTGTGACCTGAGGATGAAATCTTTTGGGTTATTCAGAGAGTTCTGTACAGAGTGCACATCACATGCTCAAGGTGAGTGAAGTCCACAGTATAACAGGGACCCCAACCTATGTCTCCTGTGGGGAGGTAAGGAGGGGGATCCTGGAGCACCGTGAAGTGGTCTGCACTCCACAACGGCTCATCCCCATAGACACACTGGGACAAGGAAGACGTGAGAACTCCATGTTCTGTCTCTCTTGAGATCACTCTAGAATTAGTTTTATCTTCTCCCAGTTTTTTAAAATCTAACATTTATTTTTCTGAAATTTTACTTTTTAGTTATTTCCTTATATCTTATATTTTATTATTAGCCAGGCATTAACTTATTCACTCACTCAACAAACATCTGTTGAGTATCTACCCTGTTTTGAGATGGGAAATCTGTTAATTTCTTTACAACTACTATACATTTGATTCAGGCAGGATTCTGGATCTTGTGTTTGTATTTACTCATGTGCTGTTTATTTGTTTGCATATTTACTTATTTGTCTATTTGTGAATTCATTAATTCGCTTAAAGACAGGCTGTTTTACTTATCTTTGTATCCCCAGATCTAGTAGATAGTAAGTGCTCAAGAAACACTGAAATGTTAAACAAATCACATCAACTTCCATAATGGAATTGAGGCAAATTGCAATTAAAACATATATCTCGTCAACATAAAACTCAAAGTATCAGTAAAATCTTTCAGAAGAAATGGAGAAGGGCATTAAGATGTAGCTAGTGCAAACTAGGCTATGAATTAGACTCTGAGCTCCCTGATAGCCAAGGTAAAAGAAAAATTTGCCAAGGTATATCAGAAATAGGAATTATAGATTCAAAGATATTACATCCTGGATTTTTATATATTTTAGATACTAATAAACATTTTAGTATTAGTCTATTGCATTTCTGGAATTTTCCAGTTATAATTATACATTTTTCTTGAGATAATTAATATTGATTCCATCGAAAAACTTAATACACCAGGTACTTGAAAAAAAGAAAGGAAAACATCAAATAATTTTATGACAAAATAGAAGTTAATCTTTTCCAAAAATGAATCTTCCTTAGCCTTTTTCATTAGAAATGATCAGATTACTTATTTCATTGTTTTTGAGATTACCGACTTTACCATTAAATGTGCCTAAAGTAAATCGAAAGCCTCCCTCTATCCTCTACCAATGAAACCTACCTAAGAACGGGATGGAAACACCTGGAGCGGTCAAGTGGCCTGATCTGTAGAGTAAACATGGGCATTGTTGTATGAGAAATTGTCAGCAAGTGGTGCTGTAGAGTAATTCCTGAATAAACAGAGCAATTTATGAATACTCAAATGAGGACAATATCTAAATATTTTGATGAACTAAGAGCTTTTATTGCTGATGAAGAACTGACAGTCATATTATTTTTCCTATCTCGTTGAGCCTCTTGAACATGTGCTTAGAGTCAGAGACTTGGACTCCAGGATTGCTCACTGTCCCATGCTCGTGGGGGCCTCTTACTCTAAAGCCTGTTTCTAAACCTGCAAAACAAGGATCATAATACCTACCTCGTGAGACTATTATAGGAATCAGTGCAAGTAGATGAGATGATGTGTGAGAACAAACTCTACAAACTATCAAGATGCAGTTTTGCTCCTGTAGATCCCAGTATTGACATCAGTTAATTTGTGAGTTGGGAAGTAGTTGATTTCTTATAATGATGCAAGTGTGATTAGTCAAATTCATTTCACCTACTGCTGAAAACACTGAATTTTTTTTTGCTCCATAAGTGAGTACAATTTTTTAAAATCTGTTAAGTTCAGTTGCTCAAATAAATCTACTGCAATGCTTATTACAGAATTTGGCTTTATGTTTTAAAAGCTCTCTTTCTGTGAGAAACATGAATACACAGTGGGTATCTGTAGATTTAATACATATTTATGTGTTGTCATCATACAGGACAGTTCTATGAGTGATGAATGAGTTCTTCTTTTTCCAGAACATTTTGTTTTGTTGGCTTTATTTACACTTTGCCTTGAAAAGCATGTTTACGTAGTTTAATAATTCAAGTGATTACACTGTTCTTTTGGAGTTTTATGAGGAAAACTCAAGTATATAATTATGTTTTTAAGTGAATTGATATGACCATCCTCAAAACAAAACAAAACAAAACCCCTGACTCTCACTAACTTTTGAGATAGCTGCATCAGCTTGCCTAGAAGTGTTGAATAATCAGCAACAATCACATTTCAGAGAAACCTCAAGGCTAAGGTGTCATCGGGGTTACTGGAAGAAAATATTCAGCAGACAAACTGATGCCTCAATGGACAAAACAAAAACAAACCTTTTAAGTGAAGGCAGAGACAACAAAGCCACCATCCATTCCCTTGGGCTACACAGCAAAAGAATGCTGATGAGAGCGGGAGAAATACTGCAGGAGGAACCACAGTTTCCTCCAGATTTGCCACGCTGGCCCCCGGGAAGAGCAAGAGAGCAGTCCCAACGTGGTGGAGGCAGAGACTAGCGCAGCGCATGAAGGACTCGAGAGTACTCCATGGCAGGAAGGCAGGAGAATGAGGTATCACCTTGTCCTCGGAACCCCTGCGCAGGCCCTGCCGCCACACGGGAGCAAGCACAGCAATCGACGTATCAGGACACCGAGGGCTATAAACTCTACTCAGGGCTCTGCCTCCCAAGCACAAAGTGCACACTGACCTCTTTTCTTGATGAAAACAAAGCAAAGGGTAGACGGATTATTACCCTCCTGATCCCTCATTTCACTCCTTGATGCTCTTCCAGTGAGGGAGTAACAGCTGGGATGACAAAGACTTTTTTGTGGTATTTTTGATCTACTTGCTTGTGTCTAGAAAAAAACCCTACACACGCATATGGAAAAAACTACGTATATAATTTCTCTTTCTGCATATTTGACCAAATGTGAGCCAGTTCCTTTCACATGAATGAAGAAGGCAAAGATTAATAATAGTACTTAAACACATGTGCAGCATGGTGTCCATATTCAGATTTTTATGTTTCTTCATGGAGTTGTTAATTTTAATGCACTGTAACTTGCACAAAGTATTTCTTTGGCAACAGCAAAAGAAAAAATATCCCACATTATTTATGGTGTTTCACAAAATCTCAGTCCCACCATTTATAAAAATCACAAGTTTATAAGTGGCTTCTAGGGATTCCTAAGGAATTACCTTATTATAGGTGGAACTCATCTGTGACTCTTCAACAGTACTGACGAGGAGAATATATATTTTTGGTTCTGGGAGTCACTAAAGTGCTAGTCTTATGAGATTAATACACTATCAAAGTGTTAGTATGATGGAGATAAGTAGTGATTATAAATATTCTGTTTGTTCTCCTACTTTTCCCAGTTAGACAGGGCCATGTAATGGATGTGAGAGGAAATGAAGTGTCACTTCTCGCCAGAGGCAAGAAAAGATCTTGAACAATTCTTTGGACTCTCTTAATCTGCAGGGTTGAGAGACGGATATGAGATAGTGAGGACTTGACATTGAAGTATCTACATTGTGAATCACTACACTGAGCAGTCTCCCAGACTCAAATGGACATATGAGTGAAAAATAAACCTTTGTCATGTAAAATGCTGAGATTTGGGAGGTATTTGTTTCTGCAGCACAGCCTGTCCTGACTCATACAGAGACTAAGACTGGATTCCAGTCTTGAAGTTTAAATAAAAATCTAGAGTTAGACTGTTACACATATTTAGTCTTTTAATTAAAGATTTAGTAGGATATAGCAAGAATAGGCAAACTTTTTCTATAAAAGACCAAACAGTAAAGTCTCTCCACAACTATCCACCTCTGCCATTGAAGCATAAAAGCAGCCGTGACAAAGCGTGATGTGCATGGCTGTGTTCCAATAATACTTTATTTATAAAAACAGGGAGTGGCCAGGATTTGGTGAATAGTTCCTGGCCCCTGTGTTGTAGAATCTACTGTTAAATATAGTTATGTTGAATAGTTACAATGTGAGGTTCCTACGGCTACCTAAACAAAGTGCCACAGACTGGGTGGCTTAAAACAACAGATATTTATGCTCTTACCGTTTTAGAAGCTAGAAGCCAAAACCAAGGTGTTGGCAGAGGTGGTTCCTTATGAGAGTTATGAGGGACAATCTGTTCCATGCCTCTCTCCTAGATTCTTATTGTTGCTGACAATCCTCAGCCTTCCTTGGCTTGTAGGAATAGCATTACTCCAGTATCTACCCCTGTCTTCACATTGTCATCTTCTCCCTATGTCTCTCTTACAAGGAGACCGATTATATTGGACTGAGGGTCCACCTTCTCGAATTGCATCTCTCAATGAGTTACATCTTCAGTGACTGTTTCCAAAAAAGTCACATTCTGAGGGACTAGGGATTAGGATTTCAACAGATATTTTTGGGGTAGACAATTCAACCCATAACACTTAGTTGCTTAAAGAACACGTTTCACTTAGTAAATTGACAGTGATACAAGTGAGTTTTAAGTAAGTTCGTAGGCCTTAGCTTTATTCAGAGAGATCAATTCATGAGCTATTTTGACAAGATTGAAAATTTAAGTATCTAATAAAGCAATTAAAAGAAAAACCATGCTCATAATTAAAATAATGAATAGAATGTTGTAATGAATGTTTATAATTCAGTACTATTTTACAGGCTCCTGCCTTTTCCAAATCATTGATTGATGCTTAAGAAGAGAAAATTAAATTTTATTTACATACTTTATTTCTTAAGACTGTTATTAAAGCACAGGATTGATGAAATGATTATTCTTTAGAGTCTGAATGCAGACATCTACAAGGATTTGTTAAAGACAAAAACCACTTTCCTTGGCAGGTTTTGGATCCCTAAAATGTGAAAAGCAGCACACAGTTAAGTAATCAAATAAATGCTTTAAATGGTACACGCAAGGAGTTCAGAAGAAGGAGGGACCCTTAAGTCTAATAAGGGGGTACCCTCTGAGGGATGAGGGTTTGGATAGACTGGCTGGGGAGCAGCTGATATGAGCAAAGGCTTAAAATGATACCGGGGAGGGTCAGCCTG